AAGAAGATGAAAGAACTGTCGAACCTGATAGCTAAACCCTATCAGTCGACCTCTTAATAGTGATTAGGCTCTAATTAAATGTACAAGGACTAAACTGCCCCTACTTAAGTATGGGACAGAGAACCTCTAATAAGACTGTCACATAAGCTCATAACTTAACCAAGGTGAGTTGACTAATCTACCSTTATTCGGCTAACTCTAACACAGTCATGGCACTAAATTGACCAGTTGACACTTTCATAACACTACATCCACCTTTATATGAAAATTGGGAAAATTTCCTGTAAACTACTATTTTTTTCAAGCATTATGTTTCCTTTAGCCTCTCATTTATTAATGCTATATATTTTTCTACTTCAAAATTGATGTTTCTATTAATTTTCAGACCCAAGAGTTCTTGGTCCTTGGAAGGCAAACCCTGACAGAACTAAGGGATAATATTTATTGCTTGACTGACCAGTGGATGCAGAAAACAGGACAGCATGATTCTTCTGGATATTTTCTTATAGAAGTAAAAAAGGCTTAACCTGCTCATTAGATTGATTTGCTACTGAAAATAATCTATTATGATCCTATTGAATGTTATCTTTTGTCCTTTCTGTAGGATATATTTTGCAATGATTTGAGAGACCCATCTGCTATAAATTATAGTGAACCCGTATTTGATTGGCTTAGAAACTCTAAGGAAGAGGTTCTTGAGAAATGGGAATGCATTGTATCTGGCGAGTTGCAACAAAAGAAAAAAGCAGTCTTAGGGGATGTGACAATATCACACTTGCCTCATTTCAAAGCTGTTGACATGCATAAGACTCGCTTTTGTGACTTGAAGTTTCGTCTTGGTGCTGGATATCTCTATTGTCACCAGGTAGTCTTCTCTTTTCTTTTCTTTTTTTTCTTTTTTCATGCATTGCATGTAGCTTTCTATATAAGAATATGATATCACTATGAGGTAGAGTTAGGGGACCTATGGAGGCAACCATCAAGGACTATTATGACTTGGTTGGAGGTCATCTTGTTTGGTCCCCTAAGCTAAGGAGAAATATTAATTATTGGGAATAAGAGGAATTGATCTCCACATTTTTAGATTGTTCAGCATTCCTCAGTTGTAGAGATGTTGGGCCGAATGGACCTTAATTCTTTTATTCTAGTGGTGTTTATGTTTTATTAGTGGGCCATAATTATGGGCCTTGTTTTGAATTGTTATTGTCTTTATTGAGCTAGGCGCCCTACTAGGGGCATCCCTGTAATTGTATCTAATAAAAGTGTTTTATGGGACTAAAGAGAGGAATGATCGACTCTCTTCTTTCTTCTATTCTCTTCTTCCTCCTTTCTTTTCTTTTCTTTTCTTTTGGTTTATTTTTTGATTTATTGCAAGTGTGATTTACAACTTGGTATCAGAGMAAGTTCCCACCTTCAATTTCTTCTTTTAGGCCATACACAGTGTGTTGGAGAATTGATCAGCTGATTGATTGATAGCTTATACAGCCCATAGGTTTTTGAAGAAGACAAACTTAGTTTGAGGCTCAAGATAGTTTCTTAGAGATTTTCCTGAAAACCCTAGTTGGTGCTTGGAGAAATTGAATTAAGGGCTCTAGAGACAATTTGAAGCTGGTGCTTGGGGCTTGAAGGGAATTTTTGGACCTACATTGAGATTGATTTAGGTTGGAAAGGGTTCTGGAGTCCCTGGTAGGAGCGACTACACTTTCTTTCTCCTAGGTTCCCAAGTTCTATGAAACCCTAGTTTAGGGTGATTGAGGAGTAGTTTTGGCTTCAGGTCAGTGGTTCTGTGAAACCCCGTTTTTATTTTTGTTTGTTTCCATTTAGCCAATGAAGCAAACTAGAGGTGAGACAAAACAAGCTAGAAACTTTGGGTTTGGCTAGGGAGGGTCTGTGGAGACTCTATTAGGAGCAATAACCACAATGTAGTTAAATGGAACCAATTATTTGGCAGTGTCTCTATCAATAAAGATCCATGTCTACAATAGAGGGAAATGAGGGTACATCACTGGGAGTAAGAAACCCAAGGAAGATGGCCCTACCTAGGAGAGGTGCAGGAAAACTATACAGTTGTAGATTGGTTAGTAAATTCCATGCAACCTCTTATCAGCCAATACTACCTATAGATGTATATTGCAAAGGTGTGGGACAGTGCTCAGAGAACTATTCCCAAAAGTTGAATGTTACTAGGGCCTAAAAAGTAAAGAATAATGTGAATAGTCTAAGATAGGGGGAGAAACCCGTAGCTATTTATTTCTCAATGCTGAAATCTCTTTGGCAAGAGATTGACCTAATGGAGAATATTGTGTGGGGATGCATGAAAGATGCTGAGACTCGTACGAAATTACTGGAGAGAAACCAGGTCTTTGAGTTCCTTATTGGATTTCAACCTTGAATATGATATTGTTAGATRGAATATTCTAGCAGAGGATGAGGTGACCCTATCTCAAGCTTATGCTATGGTTAGTAGTGAGCAGAGTAAGAGACAAGCCCAAATTGTGGAATCCCCATTCCCCAATCAATCACTTTGCTAATGCCGAGATGAATCCTAGGGTTACCACTGATAAGAAGGATGTTGTGTGTGAATACTGTAAAAAGCCAAAGCACACAGAGTACAACTGTTGGAAGCTACATCCAGAGCACTTGCCTCCAAGATTCAAGAACAATAATACTGGTGATAAGAAATCTGTAGGAGCTATTGTGGAAAACTTCTTGAATTGCAGTGTAACCTTCTTTCTTTCTTACTACGTTTTTTAGGACACGAGATCTCAAAAGGTGGTTGGGAGTGACCATGAATGGGGTATACTTGTTGGACATGCCTAAAAAAATCCAAGTACCACCTCAGAGAGCATCTTTTGGGTCAAATGTGTTAGAGTCAGTTAATCGTGTTATGTTATGTCACTATCGTGTAGGTCATCTTTCCTTTTCTTCATCGAGTCTTTTGTTTCTAGCTTTATTTAAAGATAAATTTTTCCAGTTTACGATTACATTGTGAGTCCTGTAAGTTTTCAAAGCATTGTAGAAAAGATCTACAGGTAATAAAAGATCTATTGTTCCTTCTCATATTGTTCACTTTGATGTGTGTGTGGCGGGGGGGGCATGTCATTTACCTTGCATGGGTGGATATAAATACTTTATTTTGCTCATTGATGGGTCTCGTGCTGAAGGTACTGAAACTTGTGAAACAATTTCGTGAATAGGTTTTGTACACTTGGTGGGAGAGTTCACCTTCTACATCTGCTTCTTGGGCAAAGAAGAGGAAGAGAACGCTTTGAAGCTGCACAAGAGTTGTGTGTTGGACGGTATAAAGTCCAGAGAGACACCTTCCCAAGCCCTTTCGGGAATCTATAGAGGTTGTAGTAAGCTAGTGGGGGTTTGGGTGGAATACTTATGCTCTAGGAAACGGAGCAAGTCTTCAATAGGTCCTCAAAACTCTAGAATACCTACCTATTATTGAGTCATGAAACTACCTTTACGGCTCAGGTGTATGGGCCGACTGGGCCAATATTACGAGTCTACATTATGATAAACTGATAAAGATTAGAGTCCACTACCTTGTAACCTGGGGCCATGAAGGGATCAAAGTCCAGTTGCTCTTGTATCTTGCAAGGTTTCAGGTCATTCTGGGCCTCAGTTCACAGCTCCTGTAATAGGGGAAATATGGGCTTGGGCTTATCGAGTTGTGATAGCTCTACCCCATCTAGAGAGCTCATCAGCTACCAAATTGGATGGGCCAGGTTTGTATTCAATCACATAATCGTAGCTGAGAAGCTTGGTCGCCCACTTCTGCTGATCTTTTGTTAGGATTATCTCATCCAAGAGATGCATAAGTCTCTTTTGTTTGGTGCTATGATGAATCGACGACCCATTACATATATCACCACTTTTGGACTAGTAGGGCTACGACCATGAGCTCTTTCTCATAGGTTGACTTGGCTTGAGCTTGAGATAACAGTGCCTTGCTGAAATACGCTATAGGCCTATTTTCTTGCATAAGCACCACACCCAATCCATTACCAGATCACACTCAACAACAAATGTCTTCAAGAAATCCAGTAAGATGAGGGTGGGTGGAATGGTCACTGCGGCCTTCAGGATTTCAAAGGCTTGTTGGGCCTGATCCGTCCAGACAAAAGATTCATTTTTGAGCAATTGGATGATAGGAGCTGCAAGCTGTCCATAACCCTTGATAAATCTACAGTAGTAGTTTGTGAGGCCCAAGAACCCTCTCAAATGTTTCACATTAGTGGGCGGAGCCCAGTTAATCATACAGTTTTTTTTTTTCACAATCAGCCAAAACCTAACCCACTTTCACAGTGTAGCCTCTCAAGTGTTTGACATTAGTGGGTTGAGCCCAGTTAATCATACAGACCTTTTTATTTTCTGGATCAGCCAAAACCTAACCCACTTCCACAGTGTGGCTCAAGTAGTGGACGCGGGCCTGACAAAGTGTATTTGTTCTCTTTGGCAAATAAATAATGTCACAGAGCCTTTTCAAGCTATCCATGAAGTGTATAAGAATTTTGTTCCCAGTCCCTACTATTGACAAGTACATAAAAAAACCGGATGTATTTCACAGATTGGGCCTAAAGGTTTCATTCGTAAAAGATTGGAATGTGGACAGTGCATTGGTCAGTCCAAATGGCATGACCAAAGACTCATAGTGCCATCATGAGTTCTAAAACCAGTCTTGTGCATGTTCTCCGTGTGAACCCAGATCTGATGATACCCTAGTGTCTCACAATTCATCCAATAGTTAATCTATCAGCAGTATTGAGAAGCGGTCTTTGACCATGATGTGGTTAAGGGCTCTATAGTCTACACAAACCTCCAAGATTCATCCTTTTTTCTGACCAATAAGACTGAAAAGGAGCAAGGACTGTTGTTGAGTTGGATCATCATTTTATCTAAGAGCTCCTGCACCATCCACTCAATCTCCTATTTTTATATAGGGCCTGACATTGGTCGGGGCAGCACTGGGGGTAATAGGAATTCTATGGTTGTGGCAACATGCAGGGGGGTAGGCTCATCCACCTTGAATGTTTTGCCTCATGCACTACCCCATACAAAGAAAAAAAAATAAAAGAAAACTAAGGAAAAGGGAAAGGGAAAGGGAAAGGGAAAGGAAAAAGAAAGGGAAGAAAAAGGATGGAAAGGGAAGGGAAGGGAAAGGATGTGTTGGCCAAGGCTTCACCCCCAAGACCCCTCATCCCAACAGATATGAAATGTACTATATCAAGCTCCAATGAATTCGAGTGGATGGAGGTCCTTGCAATTCAAATGGTTGCTATTGGCCACATGTACCATAGATGGGGTGGTGTGCCAAACAGTCAGCCCCAATCATAGTTTTCAAGGCGTCTAGGCGGTTCCGGGCGACACTGGGGCGCCTAGTCGGCCAGTATATTATGTGAAAAAATAGCAATTCTCTTTATTAAGAATATTAAATTTCCTCTAAAAATGTGGTGAATCATCACGTCTAAAAGATAAAAATCTTTTACATATATTAATATCATTATTTTCAAAAATAATACTACTATAATAAGTATTTAATATTTCATATCAATTAGCAGTTGAAAAAGTTATTGACTTTATATGATAAATATTCAAGATGGAAAGTAAAATAGAAAAAACAAGGATGGAGTTTCTATTTTATTTAATTAGAGAGAGGGAATAGAAAAAGAAAAAGAACCTCTTTATAATTCTGTTCTTTCTTTCCTCTTTCTTTCTTTCTTTCATTTTCTCTCCTCAAAACCCTTTTGATCTTTTAAATTTCAATAGTAAAACATTAAAACAAAGTATAATTGATATATATATATATATATATAATGAAATATATTAACACATACATTAATGTGATAAAACAATATAAATGATATTATAAAAGGTGCCCGCCTTGTCATTTTTGTTTCCAAGGCAGGCACTTAATCGCCTAGGTGGGCGCCTAGTCACCTAGAAGTGTGCCTAGTTGCTAAAAGGTGTTTGGGCGAGGCGCCTAGTCACCTAGGTGATGCCTTGACAACTATGGCCCCAATTGGTGAGCAAAGTATGTGGGTTACAAAATTGAGGTTGCTCCCACTATCAGTAAGGATAGACACCCGTTGGCCTGCTACCTGGCCTTCAACTCTCATGATCTGAGGGTAAGTCAGACAATTCAATGTTTGTAATGATATCTAAGAAGTCTTAGCCTCATAGACCTATTCATTCTGAGTTTGCACCTTGTAGAGCAGCATTCAGGTTATCAATGCCTTTAGGCCCATCAGTTTGCAAGATAAACACCTGTTGGGTTTTACATTTATGTTCTTTGGCCAAATTTCTCATTGCAATTGTAGCATAGCCCTTTTCCTCTACGGGTTCGCATTTCATCCCAGGATAGTTCCTTACATAGTTGTTAAGGCGATGCCTAGGCGACAAGGTGCCCTTGGAGGCTCGCCTCACCTAATCGCCAAGCAGTTTTGTATATTGTGTTATAGAATACTTTTTATATTAATTTTTTGAGATTATAATTATGAAATAGACATTATTAAACTAAAATATTCATTTTGTGTGTTATATATTAATTTATTTTTTTATTATTTCTTATTTGTTAGGATTTAATCAACACTGACATTGCTAATTGATGAATTGAACCCTCAAAGACTTCAAAACCTGAACCAATAAATATGAATAAACTAAAAATTTTGTCTAATCAATACATTTTCTTCTTCCGCACCTTTTCTTTTCTTCTTTTCTTCTTTTCTTCTTTTCCTATAAGAAAAATAGGGGTTCAGCCCCTATATTTTTTGAATTTTCTTTTCTTTCTTCTTTTTCTTCTCATAAATATGTTGATTTTCTATACTTTAACATGAAATTTATACTTATGAAAATTATGGATATTTATCAAGGAAATATGGTTATAGAACCTCGGAACTACCTTAGAATATATGATTTTTAGTTAAAAAAAAAAAATCCATCGCCAAGGCATTGCCTAGGTGCCCACCTAGGCAACTAGGTGACAAGGCACCTCCCTGTCGCCTAGCCTCGACTTGGCGCCTTGAAAACTATGGCTTCTTATAAGGGATTCTAAGTATTGGAGCAGAATTAGTGGACCAAACTGAGCCCTTTTCAGATCTGGTTATAAGGGGTCATTTAATTGTCCAGTTGGTTGGCTTATCTGAGTCAACTCAGTTTCTCTTCTTGCAGTCTGGCTAGCCCCACTGCTGCTAGTACTGTTTCCGGCTTGAGGGCTTTCACTTCAATACAATTTTTCTTCCTTGAGTTCACCAATAAAACACCCCACCAAGGCTCCTTTTGATCATCTATGAACTCATTCGGCTATTCTCTTGAATTCAATTTGATACTCGTGCACAAATCTGGTTTGTTTAAGTTTTGAGAGAGCCTCATTGAAATCCTCATAAGCTGTTGGTCCAAATCTAATGCACAATGCCCCTATGAAATCATTCCAAGTCACCTGTGGGTGGGATCTCCGATACCAAAGGTACCACAAGGCTTCTCCTCTAAGTGGATTGAGGCAATGGCCACTCTTTGACGGCCTTGAAGTACCTTTTGCCTTGTATATCTAGGGAATCGGATCCTCACCTGAGAAGGAAAGTCTATCTTGGCATGTTTCTTTTGTGTAGATCTGATTGTCCAGCCACTTCCCTGACTGGACTCCTCTGATTCATTCTCACAGCCACTGGATTAAGTTTCTTGTAGTGTGTCATGATAACCACCGGTGATTCCTAGATGTCCCAGACATCTCCCAACACCTTATGAAGACTGGTCTCAATCTGATCTATCCATTCATCCACCATTGAAGGTATAATGGTAGCCATTGCTATCCTTGAGCTATGGTACCAATTTTGTTAGGTTAACTCATTGTTAGGTTACTAAGAGAGGATAGTTTGGGTTTAATCACTTCTGCCTCCTTCCTTTCTGGCTTTCTATTTATAATATCATCAGTCTCAGATGTGATTCTGTTACATGCGACTCATGCATTTTATTCTCCTTCTAACTGTCTCTATGACGTGGCTTCCTTCCATAGCTCTGAACGATTAGTCTAGTAGCTGCCTGGGCTAGGATGCTGATGTGGGCCTGCTAAGGGTTGTGGGCCTATCAACTACTTATTTAAAAGATTTAGATGACTCAAGAGTCTTGCACATTTCCAAGTACTTTTTTATTAGACCATGTTCACAAGTACTTTTTTATTAAACCATGGTAAGGGTATTTTCTTTGCCCATTGTGTAGCTCACCTCTTTCTTGATTTTCCATAAAAACCTTTTTATTGGTCAATTGTTATGCCTCACAAAATCATCACTGAAGTAGTAATATAGTAATTACATTGCTGGTTCATTAACTTAATACGATTTAACAATATGGTTGGCACAGGGAGACTGCAAGCATGTCATGGTGATTAGAGACATGAGATTGATTCACCCAGAGGATGTGCAGAACCAATTAGTTTACCCAGTACTAATATTTCAATTAAAAACCCGTCCTCGGAAATGCTCAGTATGCAAGATCTATCGAGCTACAAAGGTTACTGTCGATGATAAGTGGGCTCCAGAGAATCCATGCTATTTTTGTGATAGCTGCTATTATCTACTTCATTATGCTGAGGATGGATCATTGTTGTATGAGTTCACGGTGTATGATTACCACCATGAATAGTTCATGGTTATGGTAACATTAAAAGTAAGTGATTACAACCTAAGGTTCAAAATATCGGTATTGCAACTAGTATAAGAGAAGCAATTTTAAGATTTCTATCAGGATACGATAAACTATTAGGAAATGCAAGGATTTTTTTTGGGCATTACACATAACAGGAGGTTATGGGGTTGAGACATTAGAGTTGTGCACATGAAGTTCACCTACCTCCACAGAGCGCTTGCAGTTAGGGGTTGATCTCAGCTACTGGGTCATCGGGGGAAATGCATGGGTGTAATGGAATGACTAGGGTTGTGTTTGGTACCATTGCCACTTTATTTGCAATGTTTTAGGTTGATCAATACAAATTTTTGAGAAAATAGTCTTGCCACATCACATCAGATAACCARGGTTCAAAGTATTGACACGTATCGGCCCGTATCGGCCGATACATATCATTCCGGGACCCCTCTAATACGCCCCTACAGTGGGTGTATCGGGGGTCTGACCAATTCAGGGTGTGGAGGAGGCCTAAACCGGCTCCCCTAAACCAGTTGTGAAAAAAAAAAAAAACACTAAAAAGCTGTATTGATTGCGGGCGAATCGATATTTTGAACCTTGCAGATAACTATTTCCACTAAAAAAAAATATAGGCATTGAATTGGGTATTGTCATTTATAGTAGAAACACAATTGGGTTTTTCCCCAGAGAAAACAATGGTAACAAATGTTGTATTGATTACTCAAGCCTTTTGTGGTAGAAAAAAAAAAAAAATATATATATATATATATATTCTCCTAAAATTTGTATTGACTAACATACGATGTTGCAAGTAGAAGTGGTAATGATGGCTTTCATTTTTTAATTTGTACCCTTTCTCTTATGGTCTATGATATAGGTGTGGCCAATGGGTGGGTTGGGACCAATTCACCCATTTGCCACTCATATTCATTTCAAGGTTCAAAATACCAATACGCCGGTATGGGCATATCGGGCAAATCGATACAGTTTTTTAGTGTTTTTTTTTTCGCAATTGGTTCAGGGGAGCCGGTTTAGGCCTCTTCCACACTCTGAACCAGTTAGACCCCCGATACACCCACTGTAGGGGCGTATCAGAGGGGTCCCAAAACAATACCGATACGTATCGATACTTTGAACCTTGATTCGTTTATTTTATGATAGTGGTTCACAACCTGCCCTGATCTTTATCCATATGATCCACTAACTGAAAATGGGCTTCTTTTTACTTCCTTTTTTTTCTCTATTTCAAATTCCAAATGCATAAAAGCATAGAATCTTGTATATTTCGACTAAAAAATAAGAAATGCATAAAAACAAAAAAAAAAATCACCTAGAGATCGATACCATTGCGTTTCCATCATAGTCTTCGTTGTTATTGCTAGGGCCATTATATGTATCTGATAGGGGTAGAATTTTGAGAATTTTATTTTCCTACGCAAATCGTGTCAATGATGTTTTTGGTCTTGATTAATATTATGAAATCTGAAATTTCTTGGTTATACACTAGAGTGTTGTGTTGTTTTGGGTAAAAAGGGTCATTTTCAACCTATGCAAATTGCGTTACCCATTCTTAAACTTGTCCTAACCCGTTTCAATCTGAAAGTTAATTAACGTTTTCTACTAAAAAAGGTTTAWTAAGGGTTAAAGTGTAACTTGAACCCAGATAAGTTAATGACAATGTTGAAACTTAATAAAATAAGTTTTATTAACTTGTATTCATGCAAACAAACAATATGTATTTATGATTAACATTTCCAACTAAAAATTAAAAGAAATAATGTTTAAAATTAGAATTTTATAAATAAATGGAATAAATAATTTATCAAATCCAAATCTGCATCAAAAGATAATTTTAATCCCAAAAAATTTATACAAATAAATTATTAATAATAGAATATTTATCTTAGTAATTAAAATTTATAAATTTGTGCATGATATTATATCTTACAATTTTTATAATTATTAGTTAATATTTTAATTTATATTAAATAACATTATATTTTTATTTACACAAAAAATAAAAAAATTGTTTACAAAATATTCAAAAATATTCAAAAATAAAAAATAATTGATATAATAATTAAGATAAATATAATAGATTCATATGTTTTGTGTCTTATACCCTTAATTAATGTATTGTTTAATATCAATTTTTTTCCCGCCATATTAATTATAAGATACAATGGCAAACCAAAATTGGGCAATTGACTGTAGAGCAGTATCAACACTACCTTTTCTCCACCATGAATTCAGTATTGACCATCTGAAGTGGTATTCTTTTGCGTGAAAACCATCCCCCAACGATTCAACAAATAGATGTCTGGAGAGGAGGAAAGCAGACCCGTTCTTCGATCTTCTATTGATGCCGGTTCAATATGGTTAAATGTAAGATCAGAGCAGCTCTTTGGAGAGAAGATGATTGAACAGAGTGGCGTCTGCGTCTGAAGAAGATTAGAGTCGCAGTGCCTGAGGAAGATTGAGGCTTCAATTTTGTAATGTTTCTTTGGTGAAGACGAGGTAAAAAGTTGCGGTAAGCCAGAGAATGAAACCTTTGAATCCCACCTCACTTAGGGCTACAAACGGATCGGATCGAATCCGATTCGGTAAGGTAAGGGCATATTTGATTTGATCCGTTAAGAAAACCTGACTGGTCCGAATCCAATAAAGATCCATTGGATTTTCAAAAGCGTGATTTGAATTCGAATTTGAATGTATTATCGGGTATCCAATTCGATTATAATTATATTTATATTATATTATATTATTTATATAATATAATAATGTTAAAATATATAATATTTTATAATTAACAGATCGGATTGGGTCACAGTAGATTGGATCAGCCAATATCCGAATTCGATCCGTTATATTAATAGATTAGCTTTCCCCATCTAATTTATTAAGATCAGGAGAGAGATCCGAATCTGCCTCTTAATGGATCAGTATCGAATTCGGATCGGATCTGATCTGATTTATTTGCAGCCCTAACCTGACTGACCCACTGTGTACCTTTCACCCAACCCATTCTTACCCTTTTTCTCTGACCCAAATGGGTTACTTGACCCACTATTCAAATAGTTGGGTATGGATGGATTGGATGGATCAAATTGGCTTGGATCAAAATTGCCAGCCCTAAATTAGCATACAGCACGGTCGCTCCTTTAGGCCGTCCAAATTTGATTTGTGCGTTTAGTTGGGACTTCATGGAACTAAGGAAGTTGCCATTATGGACTGACACAACAACTTTCAGGCACTGGTTGTTGTAGTTTTGTCGAAACAGGTTGGGTCCCAAGAGAGTGTGCCCCACAACCCATCCCCTCCCTGAATTGGGAATATCTATTCATGACAAGCACATGAGATGCTCCCCAATACCCCCTCTCTAAATTGGGCTGCGGGGGGAGCCCATCCGAACTCAGCTTTGTCATCCTTTTTTTTTTTTWA